CTTTCTTTTTAGCATATCAATTATACCTTTTTTTTTTTTTTTTGAGACGGAGTCTCGCGCTCTCGCCAGGCGGGTGCAGTGGCCGGATCTCAGCTCGCTGCAGAGCTTTATCCGCCGCATTCTAACGACAAAGCTCACCACCGACGTGCTGGGACTGCGCCCACAGCCACCAAGACTCCCCCCCAAACACAAACAAAAAAACAAAATATCGACACCGGTACAAGTTATTGTAATTTATAGTAGAGCGGGATTTCACCGTATCACCGGCACCTCCCCAAGAGGTCTCGATCATCCGACCGACACACACACTCGTGATCCACCCGTCTCGACCTCAGTGCTGGGGATCAGGCTTACCACCGCCAGCCCGCTACTTCTTTTTAAAATTACTTCTTTTGGTTGCCTATTGAGTTCCATTACTATACACACATAAAAAGTCTCTTTTCAAACGTCGCTTCATTGAGTAAGTTGCCAAGTATCTTATAATAAGCAACATAATTCATAATTACCAACCCTGCCCAGCCTACATTATTGCTTTATTTTGTGTAATTACTTCAAACTTAGACTATGTCCATCAAATACATTGTTGCTATTATTTTGAACAAGCCTATTATCTGTGTAGAATGAACCTAAGAATAAGAAAAAACGATTTTACCTTTCAATCATTCTCTTCTCTGATGCTCTTCCTTTCTTATGTGGGATCTGAGTTGTTCTGACCTCGGTGTTATTTTCCTTTCTCTGGAAGAACTTCTCTTTAGCGTCTTCTAGCAAGGCCAAGTGTCACTGGCAACCAAATTCTCTCTCGATTTGTTGTCTGAGATAGTCTGTGTTTCTCCTTTACTTGTAAAGATTTTCACCAGGAACAGAATTCTAGGTCTGGTGGCAGTTTTATTTTCCTGTCAACCACTTTAAATATTCACTCCACATTTCCTCTTACTTGCATGTTCCGAGAGAAGTCCCGTCTCAAAAAAAAAAAAAAAAAAGCAAGCCACAAGCTCTGTCCACCCTCAAGATGAGAGGATTATTCAAGGATGTGAACACCAGGAGGCAGGGATCACGCATCTACCTTAAAACCCGTCCACCCCATAGGGGAAGAATATTAAGGCAAGAGCTGAATCTAGTGTTTAGCGGAGATCCTGGAGATATAGATTTTAGGATCATCAGCATATGGATGGCATTTAAAGGACTGAACTGGATAAGCTCACTGAAGATGTGGATAGAAAAGATGTACAAGGACTGAGGCTTGAGACGAGGCACCCTGATGTTAAAGAGTCAAAGTGTTACCAGTGTGCCCTGGGATCTTGTAATCTCCCAGGATAGAAATAGAGATCAGCAGTTGTAGCAGCAAGGAAAAGAGAAAGCTTTATTTCGCTTGTGCACAAGGAAGTCACCACCGTGAAAGGAAAACGGTGGGCTACCCCCGGGGGGGTGGCATGTGAGTTAGTTTCACAGGGAAGGGATTGGTCCAGGCATGGATGGGAGGGGTTTGTCTAGCGCTTCTCAGTTGCATTGCATGCTTCTTCCTGCATCGCATGCAACATGCACATTTTAAATCTCTATCCCTAGGTGTGATTTTTAGCGTGAAAATGAGGAAGGGGTAACTATAGTTGAAATTTAAGTCTAACTGCACATGTGGAACCCGGGGAAGTCCCTTGGCCCCTAAAGCAAGAACTTGTGCTTAATAGCTTCTTGGGTCTTGTGCTGTGGATTGGCTGGAAGTTAAGCTACAACTTAAGGAAGGGGCTTTCGTTCTTTTCCTCTAAACGCCATCAAAACAGGCAAGTGGCCAGGTTGCCGGTTTGAGGAGAGACGGGTAACTGAGACTTGAAGATGTGGTCTCCGGGATAAGAGGAAAGTGAGAGACACATGGTGTCCTGGATGGGGAATGAAGAAAGCGTGTCTAGCAGGAATGACTATGGATTCTGCTGCAGTTCCTGGAGGACGAGGACTGAGAACCGACCACTAACAATATAGAGATCACAGACAAGAGTTTTTGGTGCAGTGGTTGTGTTACTGGTAAAGGGTCCTGATCCAGACCCCAAAAGAGGGTTCCTGGATCTTGTGCAAGAAAGAATTCCAGGCCAGTCCACAGAGCAAAGTGAAAATAAGTTTATTAAGGCAGCGAAGGAATAAAAGAATGGCTACTCCATAGAGCAGGGTGTTCCCAAAAGTATAAGGAGGAAGGCGTCCACCTGGATACAACGCTTGTTTATATGTAAGATAAAAGCCAAAAACCATCACGGGGGAGACGTGCTGTACTACCTGGGCTCGTCAAACAAAGGATTGCTAATCTTTGCATAACGCCTGTCCTCCGCGAGCATCTGTATCATGATCTTTAAAGCGAAACTTCAACTAAGAAGGCTTTTAGTTCTTAAGATACCCGGACATCAGGACCTGAGTCCCGGGTCTGCTGAGTAAACATTAACCTGTGCCTGTGACCGTAAACGCCCGATTCCTGGGGATGCAGCGAGCGGGGTTCGGCCTCAGTTTACCCAGCGCTGTTGGAGCTGGAGTCGCTCTGGCGGGAGCGCCTGACCGCGGGGGGCGAGGTCAGGCCGGACTGGGGTTCGCAGCGAGCAGGAGGGGAGCGGGGCCCCTGCGGAGCGGCGCTGCGCGGAGGCCGAGGGCAGGGCGGGCTCGAACTCGGGCTCTTCTGGCAGCGCCTCCATCCCCGTTACGTTCAGCCGGCAGCCGCCCCGGGGCGGAACCGCGCCCCATCTTTAGCCCTTTGCAACAGAAAGGCCCTTCCTCCCGCAGTCAGCTGAGGGAAAGATCGCGCTGGAGGGGATGTCGGGCCTGCCCCTGGTTTGTTCCGGGCCACAGTTCCCTCCCTTCTCCGAGCGGCCCACACGGCCGCAGGTCACCCCCGCCAGGTGGCCAGGTCCTGCCGCCACTCGGCAGAGGACCGAGGAGGAGCCAAACTGCCCAGACTGCAGCGCCCCCACACTCAGGTCCGCGCCGACGGCCGTCACAACTGGGCATGCGCAGACGGCCCCGCCGGGAGCCATTTCGCTGAGCTGCGGGGCTCGAGGAGAGAGCGGGTGCGCAGGCGCCGGGCAAGAGGCTGTGCCTGCCCGACACTGGAGCGCGCGTGCGCGAGAGAGCCGGAAGGGGCGGTGCCTGGAGCGGCGCCTGCGCAGTGGAGTGGACCCGGGGGCGGGGCGCGGCGCCTGTCAGCTGACTGTGGCGGCGGCGGCCTCGAGGTGACAACTGTGTCCGTCGCAGGCTCCGGCAGGGGCGCAGGAGGTCGCCCGGCGCGTCACTCTCGGGTCGGCGAGCCACGGGGGCCGCCGCAGCACCATGGCGACCACCGTCAGCACTCAGCGCGGGCCGGTGAGGCCGCCAGGCGGGGGTCGGGCGGGGGCGGCGACCTGCGGTTGCGGGAAGGGCCTCGGGCCCGGGCTACTGCTCAGCGGCGGCGGGCGGGCCGGCTGCTCGGCTCTCCCGGTGTACGCGGGGCGCCTGGCCGGCCGGAGGGGAGCGGCGGCGTCCCCACCTCGGGGCGGGGCGGGACGGACGTGCCCACGCTGCGGGAGGCTTGAACTCCCGGTCGCTCCCGGGCAGAGCTTTGGGGAGGCGGCCCCGAGGGAGGGGGCCTGCGCCCGTGGTGAGCCCCAGATGGAGGTGGGCCCCGTGCCCCATGGTCCCGCAGAGGAGGCAGGCGCCGCTCCCTAATGGTCCCCAGATGGAGGAGGGCCCTGTGCCCCATGGTGCCCAGATGGAGGCGGGCCCCGAGCTCTGATGGTCTCCCAAATGGAGGAGGGCCCCGCACCCTAACGGTCCCCCAAGTGGAGACGGGCGCGCACCCTGATGGTCCCCTAGATGGAGGCGGGCCCTGCACCCTGGTGGCCCCTCAGATGGAGACGGGCCTACACTCTAGTTGGTCCGATAGATGGAGGCTGTTTCCTCCTTCTCCCTTACACAGAGTGAGGGTAGTGGTGACCACTTCTTGGGCCCAATTGTGTCCCCAGTTAGTGGCCACCGCGCAAAGCCTCCGTTTCTTCATTTGCAAATGAGAGGATAGGCGCCAAGAACTTCAGAGAACCTTTCCTGCTCTGAATTCTCTCCTGAGGGTTGCCTGTCAGTTTCTTCTATAGCATTAATATTGCAGGAGAGCTGGTGTAGACTGACTCAGAGTTGATGGGCTCCTGGCATGAGTGGCCTCCGGGCTCACTGTTAGGGCCTTCTTGCATTGCTCTAGAGGAATACCGGAGACTGGGTAATTTGTAAGAAAAGAGATTTAATTGGCTCCTGGTTCTGCAGGCTGTACAGGTAGCATGGTGCCGGCATCTGCTCCTGGGGAGGCCTCTGGAAGCTTCCAGTCATGGCGGAAGGCCAAGTAGGAGCTTGCACGTCACATGGCGAAAGCAGCAAGAGAGTTGGGGGTGGGGAGGTGCCACACACCTTTTAATGACCAGATCTCGTGAGAACTCCCTATCACCAGGACGGCACCAACCCACGAGGGATCTGTCCCTGTGACCCACACGCCCACCCTGCCAGGCCCCACCTCCAACGCTGGGGGTCATAATTCAGCGTGAGATTTGGCGGGGATGAGGATTCAAACTGTGCCACTCACTGAGGCTGGGCTGGGCAGGCTGTCCTGAGCGGCACAGTTTTTATCAACAGTGGCTCTGAACCTGCCGTGGGCGGAAAAAGTCCTTTTTAGGATGTTCCAAGGTCCCTGCACTTGTGCAGCCCAGTACTGGACGTGGTGGAGGGGTCACCAGGGCTCCCCACCCTTAACACTGTATCCACACATCCTGGTGTTTCTCCTGAGGGGAGAATTCTTCAGGTAGAACATTTTTTTCTGTGTTTAGAATGAAGCCCCAGGTTTTGGACATAGATGCTTTTTCTGAGGACTTTGAAGGAGACCTCCTGACACTTTAGAGACTCAGGTGTGGAGCCCGCGGGTCGGCAGAGGTCCTGGACGGCCTCTGAGACTCAGGTGTGAAGCCCGCGGGTGGGCAGAGGTCCTGGACGGCCTCTGAGACTCAGGTGTGGAGCCCGCGGGTGGGCAGAGGTCCTGGACGGCCTCTGAGACTCAGGTGTGAAGCCCGCGGGTCGGCAGAGGTCCTGGATGGCCTCTGAGACTCAGGTGTGGAGTCTGCGGGTCAGCAGAGGTCCTGGACGGCCTCTGAGACTCAGGTGTGGAGTCTGCGGGTCGGCAGAGGTCCTGGACGGCCTCTGAGACTCAGGTGTGGAGTCTGCGGGTCGGCAGAGGTCCTGGACGGCCTCTGAGACTCAGGTGTGAAGCCCGCGGGTCGGCAGAGGTCCTGGACGGCCTCTGAGACTCAGGTGTGGAGCCCGCGGGTCAGCAGAGGTCCTGGACGGCCTCTGAGACTCAGGTGTGGAGCCTGCGGGTCGGCAGAGGTCCTGCATGGCCTCTGATGGCAGCATCTCCACCTCTTCATCTCCGCTCCACCACAGTGAGTCCCTGCAGGTGGTTGTGGCAGTGAGGTGCTCCTTTCTGCCTAACTGGAGGCTCGTAGCAACAAGGGAACCGGCACCCTGCCTTTGTGTCCTCCTGGAGAGCCGGGGGGCATGGTGGCCGGGCAGGATGGCCCCTTCCTTGCTGTGTGGTCTGGGAGACATCCTCAGCCTCCTGGGAGCTTGTCCCTCATCTGGAACCCCACCGGGGTGTAGGGCTGGGTTTGAATTCATCAGGTGCTGAGCACTCACGGAGCAGTGGGAGGCAGGCCCTTCCTGTTCTGAGGGCACCGGCGTGCAGTGCTCCTACGCCCGCGATGAGGAAGTGGGAGCGGCAGGAGATGTTCTCACACGTAGGGCCTGTGCTGACAAGTGCTGAGGTGTTGTTAGCATCTCCTCTTGCCTGGTGCCTCCTGGGCTGTTTCCGTCACGTAGACGAGCAGGCACTTCAGGGGCACCCCCGCTGCCCAGTAAATGCACAGTAACATCAGATCTGGCTCAGAACTGCCAGGGTCTCCAAGAAGGTGGTATCAGCGACGGGGGTCTCGAGTGCTGCTTGGAGTACCTGTGACTTAATCAACCAGCGTTACCGACTGTGACGTTTAGGATGGCCACGATACAGGGGCAACCAGGTGGTTCCTGCCACCGGGATCTTACAGGGCAGCACGGTAGACATGGCAGCACATAAGGACAGCGGAGCCATGTGGTGATGGCGCGGTGGGTCTGTGATCTTAAGCCTCAGGTGCTAGGAGAGTTCGTAAATGGTGGCCTCACCAGGGCTGGGTGTTGGAGTGAGGACGTGACATCTCTCCTGAGCTTGGAGGAGGAATGGGAGTTGGGGGGTGAGCTGGGAGGGGAGTGCACAGAAAACAGAGGTGTGGGGTCTGGAGGTCGAGAGGAGGGAACCCCAGGGTCTGAGGATGGAGGGAGGCAGGAGCTGGTGGCCGCAGGAGGGTCCTGGGCACAGGAGGGCTGGACTTGGCCCTGGAGTTTGTCGGGTCAGCGCAGCACTCTGTAAAGTGTTGCCCGGCACACGCCCACTGCAGGGCCCGCCTTGGCACCGGCCTGCTTCACTGAGCATGTGCCACCCCAGCCCCTCTGAATTAACTCATAGTGGGCCTTTAGCCAGTGTCTTGACACAGTATTTATCGTGTCCTCCACTTTCTGTTACCCTTGCGGTGCTGGGGAGGCAGGAGGTTAAGCAGTTGCTCGGCTTTCCAACAGAGAGAGATGCTCCCCAGGGTGCAGGGGCAGGACTCTGGCTCGGGAGACCCTGACTGTGGTCATTGCCTCACCCTGGTGGTGAGGGGAGACAGCAAGATCCCATGGGCTGTGAAGGAGCAGAGGCCGCTAATGGGGCCCTGGGAGGTTCTTTTGTCCTTGGGTAGAGGGAGCTTCAGGGGCCTGGGTGGGTAGGTGTGGAGAGGACGTGTGTGAAGCTAGCCAGCCCGTTATCGTTCTGAGAGAATCATACCGTGTTTAGATCTTCAGGATAATGTTTCCGTGAATAGCCACTAAGGGATGCTTCAGCCCTGTGCAGTGCTTCCCTCACTTTTCAAAAAGGCCAGTATTTTGGAAAGATAACCTTTTTTCAATATAGTCTGCATATTATCAGAAAGCACGCAAGGAGTACCGTGTGAGCCCCTGCATTCTGCAGTGAGAACTCGGGACGTTTGCAGGAGACTCTGCCTTCAGCCACCACGGCGTCATCGGCTAGAGAGGCCTCCTTGGTAGAGGTGGGTGCGCCGTGCCGGGTCCAGGCTGCTCCTACTCCTTGTCCTGCTTTTGGAGGTGCTGGTTGACCATGGAGTCCAGCTGGAGGCGGCCTGGCCCCTCCTCTCCTCCCTGAGAGGCCTGTGCGTGTCCAGGTCCCCTCACTCTTCACATCGTTGATAATTCCTGCCGAATCGGTGACTTCATTAGGGATGGCAGAGGGTAGTTTCTGAACTTCATCACTTATTCAGTGTTTATTGTTTGTAAAGATTAGCTTTCCCCGTCAACCAGTGTCAGCCTGTTGTCCTGAAATACAGTTTGTGAAGGAAAGGCAAGTGAAATGCTTTTCCTTCACCTTCCCATACCTCAGGGAGAGAATTGGTTTTCCTTGTAGGTGTGCGTGGACTTCCTCCCCCGAGTGTCGTGAGGAGCCCCTGGATTTTCCTGCGTCCTGTGTGTCTGAGCCAGTGGCACTCACCCGCTCAGGCGGGCCGTTGCTGGGTGGGCGTCCTTTCTGCCAGCTGCACCTGAGCCAGTGGGGAACGCGCTCACCGCCTGCCTTTGCGTCCTTTCTCTCTGGGTCCCTGTGAACGTTTGTGCCGGGTTTTTTAGGCCGGGTTGTGAGTGTGGACAGGTGTAAATTGCTGTGCTTGCCTGGAAATCAGATCTCTTCACTGGGTGGGGACCCACGGGCCTCTTGGAAGATAAAGGCCTTTTGCCTTTAATTATTGTGTCTGATACTGGCATGGCCACTCCAGCTGTCTTTTAGAGAGTATTCACCTAGTATTTTTTCCTTCTTTGATTTTACATTTTTTTGAAAAGTCAACTCTAAGAAGTCTAACTAAGTGTTTTGATGGGAACATGCTAGTTTCATTTTTCTAGTTATAGACGTCTAGATGTATACACAGATTTACAGATTATTTAGATGTTTTCGTTCGTGCTTTTATTTGTCCTACATTTTCTTGTTTCTTTTTCTCTCATTGCCTTCTTTTGGATTTATTAAACGGAGTTTTAAAAAATTCAGTTGTTTATCTCAAGTACATACACACTGTGCTGGGAAAGTGCAGGGGCTCTCCTGGAAATGGTAACGTGCACTTATCAGCTTCTGCCGTGAGGGAGTCTCTGAGTGAACTCTGGCTCCGGAGGCTGCCCGACTGAAAAATAATTAAAGAAGAAGTTAATCATTGTCTGTG